CAGGATACAGGAGGGAAAGAAGGGTACTGCTCAGGAGTTCGAAGCAGGAACTGCAGATAGCAACAAAGAGGGAAATAAACTACAAAGAAAAGTAAATTAAAACAAACCTGAATTTGTGAATAAAAGGAATTCATTTACTGAAGCTTATGCTTAGGTAAAGAAGGGGGCGAATAAGTCCGACAGGATTTATTGAAGCTTATGTTTAGGTTAAGCGGGGGGCAAATAATTTCGACAGAATTTACTGAAACTTATGCTTAGATGAAATTGAGAGCAAATAAGTTCGATAGGAGTTACGGAAGCTTATGCTTAGGTGAAGCTGAAGGCAAATAACTTCGACAGGATGTACTGAAACTTATGATTAGGTGAAGTTGACAAATAAGTCGAACTGGATTAAACAAGAATTGCGGGCAATTCCGAAGTGTTGCCTCTTGCAGCCTGCAACTGTGCACAACAGTTATACCTTTGTTTTTTTTGTCTTCAAAATCTCAAAAGAGCAAAAGCCGACTTCTTCCCCAGGCATCCATTCTAGCCTGTTTTTGCCCATTTCATGGAACTTATTCGCCCTCAGCTTTACCTAAGCATCAGCTTCATAAATAGGGAAGCTTAATGATGGATTTTTGTGGAACAGTTTTTTTTAAGCATCAATTTCATAAATAAAGAAGCCTAATGATTGGTTTTTGTGGAACAGTTTCACCTAAACATCAGTTTCATAAAAAGGGAAGTCCCAGAAGCACACTTCCTCATCCTTTCCGTTCTTCACCGCTCCCTTCTCCCCTCAAATGTACGCTACTTAGTCAATCGGCAAAGGATCTACACCATTTAGTCCTTATATCCACCTATCCTAGCCCGCTACCCTGCCTCGAACGAAACCCGCCACACACCACTCTTACTTCCACCTACCACATTCAAACTGCTGCCACCCGCCGTGGGGCAGCCCTACCTGCCGTTGGCAGAAAAAATTTTTTGCGGTTTGTGTATGAGGTAGTTACTAAAACTCGGCTCGGCACGGCTCGGCTCGGCTTGCCCTCGGCTCGCCTCGGCCGGCCCCTGGCAACGGCATTATCGTGAAGC